AAGACATTTAAAAGCCAACTTAATTCAAAAAAGAGCAGTTCAGCAACATGGAAACGATTATTTTAGGCACACTGGGCTAGATCCTGACTTCATTTGGGCTTCTCCAATTTGCACCAGTTGAAGACCTGGCCCTCAATTTCCATTTAAGCAATTAACAGTCAGCCTGCCTGGTATTCCTCGTGGAATTTCCTTGGAATTAAGTATCCATCTTTTCCTGTTTTAAGCCCTGGTGTAATGTTGTTCTGTGCTGTGACCTGTTTCATTCCAGAGGTGGCTGCATTTCTTCATGGGTGGAGTAATCCTTACAGTGAGTACAGATTTAAATTGACTCCAGTCCCTGCAGAGCCTGTTAGCTTCTCTAGGGCAGACCTAAAGCAGACTAAAGGAGACTCTTGCAGTATTCTGCTGGATTATAACAGCCACGCATGCATGCCTCCAAGAGATGCTCAGGAGCTAACCAGGAATCAGGATGGTATTTGCCCCACTACACATGTATGTTAGTGGGACTGCGGTTAGCCTTAGGCAGGTGTGCACGGGGAAGCGGCCGTCTAAGTCACCGCGTTCCAATCATGCAAGTACTGGAAATGTCTAGTGGCATCAGATATGCCAAAGGTAACAGGATGAGACACTGAAGTCAAGGGTGTTACTACAGATTTACACGCATGTAAATGAAAGAAGCCACTGCCTTCCCGTCACGATACTTGGAACTGATTTCAAAAGTATATTGGGTAAACTCGAAAAGTCAAAGTGCTGGAAGACAAAGCTCGGCGGACCTGATTCTCCTCTCGGCTACCGCGGTGTAAATCAGGAGCATCTCCCCCATTGTAGATCTAAGCTCTTTTTAGATGGGAACGGTTTTGTTGCATGCTCAGGCCGAGCACAATGTAACAGCAAAACAAATAATAAATAGGAACAACAGTAAATCACAGAGGCTTAAGTGACACTAGCAGTAAATCCCGAATGCTGATTTAAAATGTCAATGCTTATTTTTTCCACCTCCATTTGTGTCACGATATTTTAATGAATTCATTTTTCAACCGCTGTGCCTAGTAAGGGGCAGGTTAATTTAAATCCAGGTTAATAAAATGAGAATAAAGTAGGGAAAACATTTTGTTTGTTTGAATTTCATTTGATTTGTTCTTTCACAGCTATCAGGTGGGCTATAAAGAGTAAGCAATGTTTTGGAACAGAAGATATCCTATTTAATACTATCTCCCTCTATTTACCGTGTTGGGAACCTGGATAAATGCAAATATACTGTATTACTTTTACAATGTGGCTTTAGTTTTAGGACTGACCTTTTTTTTTTTTTTTTTAAACAACCTTCTCAGCCACACTGGTTAAAAAAAGCAAAATCAACAGGAGCCTGGTCTACCATTAACCTTTAGTTATGGTATCATGAGCAGTTCTCCAGCCACTTACACATGATGACATAAGTGGCTAAGTGTTTCAGGAAATCTGAAACACCGTGAAATTTTGTGTCTCAGAAATTCTCTCTCAGACTCAGAAGTCAGAATGGACTGATGACCTTTTCCCTCATTTGCCTGGAAAGTTTTGCCCACAAACTCAATTAAACACCATTTTCACGTTTTAAGCATCTATTAAGAATCCCCAAGCTCTTAAGTTTACAAAAGCATTAATTACGTTCAGTTGAAGAACGAACTCTGTAAAATCAGATGTCATGGGGTGTTTATACAGATGCTCTGGGGGGGGACATGCCTTAATTAGAGCAGCTCCTAGAACTGCTCTAATTAAAGTGCCTGAAGCGCTTCATGTATCAGCATCCCCATGCTTAAAAATGGTGGTGGGGGTGCTTTAACTAAAGCTCATTGAATGAGCGCCCTGCCACCATTTTTAAGGATGGAGACGCTATCCATGAGACACTGTAGTCTGCTGGAGCGCGGTAATTACCACACTTCAGCAGACTCAATTAACCGAGTCTGCTCTGACATGCTGTAATTACAGTGCGTCAGATCAGCCTCCATGCTCGTGTATAGGCACCAATGGATCTTACCTTCCTGCTCTGTTGCATGTAAAATTGTGTGTTAAACAAAACCCAAGAGTTATTGTGACTTTCTTAGGGGCAAAACTGAGTTATGTTGCTTAGTTTCCTTATTAAAAAAATAAATACTGGAGGAAAAAAAATGCTCTCCAGAGACAATGAGAAAACAGGTAGGAAACGGGCATGTTACTGGCAGCCTGTGAGCGAGCATCCTTATGGTTAGCCAATGCACGTCAGCAGTATTCAAGTCCCACTCCTCTCCAAGCACAAATGGCCAGTTTGCTAAGAAGTCGTAGCAATGGTGCCATTCTGGCTTTACACCTGTGTATCCGAAGCAGGGTATGGACAAATATTGGAGGCCAGATCCGGTTGTCTGTTCCCTGCAGGCAACTCCTTTTGTGTGAGCTACAGCCAGGCAGCCAAGAGCAAAACATGGCCAATTTGCTTCAGAGTTATTTGTACGCTCCTGCAATTGGTCAAATTGCACTCTATTATACCACTATCTACCTTGGGTACTTCCATAACACGCACTGCTGTAAAAATTGGTGCACCTCCCAATAATGCACTTGTCTTTACAACTTGGAGAGGGAGGGAAGTATTGACACTCCCATTTTATAAAATGAGGAACTGAGTCACAGAGCGGCATCTAAGTGCTTAAATGGGAGTGACGGGGCCTAAATGCTTCTGAGGATCTGGGCCTAATGGTGAAGTGGCAGAGCAAGGAATTGGCTCCAGGTCTCCCTAGATGCTACAGAGTCTCCTTCTCACACACAGTAGTCATCCAGAGCTTCCTTGGAAACAGGAGCCCTTTGGACTGAGTGTGAGGGAAAGACGTGCGGATCGTGGACCGCTGCTGGAGCAGAGGATGACATTTTAGAGATCTTTAGTAAAAATCTGTTCTTTCCCCTTATTTGTCTAGCCTGCAAAATGTAACATGCTGCATGAGGTTAATACAATGGCAAGATTGTATGCATACTGCATGAGGCTAATCCAGTGGCTAATAAAATAGCTTTTATTTACCCCCTCCCTTCCTCAGTTTCCCTTGAGTTTATTTTATATAATAAATAAAGGCCAGATTACAGTCATTGGGATTACTCAGATACCTAAAATTATCCATGCACCAAAGCACCTTACTAAACTGACTCTGAAACCTTTGTGGTTGAAGCACAAGCTGAGACTTTTTTGGTCAGTCCACCTCCTGAATACCATCTACTTGCCCTTAAGCAACGAGAGCTACTATTCCTTAGGGCAGTGCCTGAAGTTTCCTCGGACTTAATAGTGTATGGCCAGCTTCTGCAACTTGTTCATGTGGAGTAGCCCTACTGATCTGTATAGCCAACTCAAGAAATAAGAGCAGACTTATATTCCACATGACATTGCTACTCAAGGGCCTATACCTTTGATTCAGAGCCCATTAAAGTCAGTGGAAAGGATCAGGCTCCCTTGATTAGACTAGTGCCTTCACTTTTATGGGAGGTGATTATACAGTGCAGTTTGTGCATTAAAACTGTCACCTGGATGATTGATCCCTGGAAATAAGTTACATCACACTTCTTTCGAATGCTGTTTACTGAAAATAACTGCTTTCCCACCAGAAAATACTTCCTTCCTACTATGCTAACAAACATAATTGAAGTGCATAAACAAAACAGATGGGGAAATGCATTTAAAAAGAACACAAAGTATTTTTCATAATTTGCCAACATTGGGGTTTTTTTCTGTCCATCACTCTTCTTCTTCACATACTATGCCCTTTGGAACTACATATTATTTCCTTCCTTGTATTTATTACTCGACGGTGTGTGCATATGTGTGCCCACACATACAAGTTTGTCATCACAGGACTGCACACAAATGCTCATCTGCTGCACTGATTTATTTACAGAGGCCCATTGAAGAATTCTCTAGACAGAAGGGTGTTTGTTCCCGAATGCTTGCAAAGAACAATTTTCCCAACTCTTTAGTCGGTTTAATAAAAGATATCACATTTACCCAAAAAACCTTTCCTGGCTATGTCCTTAGACCGACACGACTACAACCAACCCCCCCGAAACATGGAGGAAAAGGCTATACTGTTGGCTAGTCTACGTCCCTCTATCTCATTGCTAGCGGTTCCTTCAGGCATGCACTAGTTTGCACAAAGATGGAAAAGTTTGCACAAAGATGGAAACATTTCTGATACTCCTTTACTCACTGAGACTTAAAGGAGCAATTTAGGTGTCAATTGCTTTGAGGTTTTATCTCCACTGTACTAAGATACACAGTTGGATCCCTGACCTCCCAACAGAGGGTCATCAAATGGGGAATGAACAGACCGAATGTTGGAGGGGCTACGATCTTGAGTTCTTGAAGCATCGGAGGCAGACAGTTGAGAGCTGGGAGGTGCGGACAGACTTCCTGGTTGCTGAAGGGTGGGTTATTTGTATTAACAAGTCGCTGTGAGCGTTAGGTAAGATAGACATGCATGTAGAAGGTGTAAAACCTTTTTCTTGTTATGTCATTTCCCTGCCGTTAAGGTCAAACCATAATTTGATTTGAAAAGGCTGTTTTAAGTCAGTGTACCCAAGGACTGACCATGATGGCCAAAGGAATGTCTTAAAGGCCTCAAACACACGAAACCCTACTAAGCCATCACAGCTACCACATGGGATGAGTCAGTAGGCAGGAGGAGCTTCAGGTGGGGGAACTGCAGGATCCCACCCCAGAATAGGAGAAGGAAAAAGGCCTCAAGCGGCAACACTTGGAGGGGTAACAAAGGCACAGGTAGTCAGGCCTAATGATAAGGAAAAATAAGGAGCACTGCTAGAACTGAGAGTTTGCAGGGCTGGCCCTATAGTAAGTATTATTTGGGGCCTAACAAACTTTGCAGTGTCTCTCTAATTGGTAGCAACCACTATATTCTTACTTAGCTACAATATTCTGAAATCCATACAGTTTATCCAGATGAGATAATAGTACTATAATTATGAAAGGACACAGAACAAATGAATAAACTTACCCGTAATATTTCTTCCACACAGCTGGAGTCATTGGGAAGGCCAACCTAGATTAAAAAAAAAAACAAACAAGAAGCAGCATTTAGTCAGTCAGATAATGTAAAGTTTGGTGATTATTAGTAACTACGAACTAAACAGATCTGTTAAACCACACCTCACAAGCCAATACCTTTTTATTTCAAATAGGCTGCATCCAATGATGATTATTAACAGAATTTCCCCAGTATATCAGAATACATCATTAGAAAGACCCATTTCTTCAAGATTATTTTTGTACTCTCTATATTACAAATGGTACTTTGAAAAGATGATGGGACTGGTGTCTTCACAGATCAGATTTGGCATTGAAGTTGTTGGAAACTTTTTGAAATGATGAAGATGCCACCATTTTCCAATATACAGTTCTGCGAGAACACAAAGAATGGTTTAACTTACAGCATGCTGCCGTTTAGGGCAGAAGTGATAACAGTTTACAGTAAACTGTTATCATCAAGCATCTTATCCTACAGTTTAATACGCTAACAGCCCAGACAACTCTTAAAGCTTAAACATGTATTGTAGTAAAACACTGGTTAGATTATAAGAGAGGTTGCCGATTCTGTCGTCTCACTTCATTGGCCTGTTACAGGTTAAGTATCCTCTAAAGACTGAAAAGCACAAAGGCATCTATCTTGAGAGGTTTGAGAGATCTTCCATCTCTCTCAAAAAGATACAATACAGCTACACACAGACTGGGTGCCCTTAAATCTATCCACTTAAAAACACAGTTCTTTAAATATTACTCAGGCGTAATACGGCTAGTATGCAAACTTGCCATTCCTCACTCTGAGCATAGGAAATAACACAAATACTTTAAATACCGGAAATTAATTGTACCACCTACACCTCTCAGGATCTTAAGAGTAATTACTCTGTGCTCTGTGTGCGGCCGCACATGCGCCCAATCTAGTTGTCCAATCTAGCTCTTGTATTCGGAGGCAACAGGAATTTTACCACTTCTTCTGAAACACTAATCCATATTTTGTTGAACTCTGGATATTTTTACCAGGCTGAACTTTGCAAATGTTATTTTCATCTACGTACAGCTACTTATCCTATCATTAATTCACGGACTTCCTTGTGCTCTTTACCTATTTGTATATTGGTATATTTTGACGACGTTACTCCTCCCGTTACTTCTCATGTTTACTGTATATTGAACTCTGTCCTAATAAGTCATTCCCTCATCATGTGGCTGCTCTGTTCTGAGCAGGTTCTCCAGTTTTTCAATATCTTGGTCAAGAAACACCCAAATGTGAACAGGATACATTCAGCTCTCAGCAACCCTGGCAGGAGTCCAGAGTAATTCTACTTGCTTAATCTACTCCAAGAGCTGCCATCTTGTATGTATCTGTCCGGTTCTTAATTGACTTTAATTTCAATCCTATTTCCCCCCTTTTTTTTTTACATCATAATTTTAAAATTCCAGGACTTCACACTGTTACACACCTCTCCTCTCCTCCTACTCCTCTTCCTTTCACTTGGACTAGGTTTTTATTTTCTTGCTCTCGTCTACAATCTTAGCTGATCTTTATTCTGTTTCTTTTTCCATGTACCACAAATGGCCTCTGAACTCCGGTACACAAAAGCCCTCTCTCCATTTAAACCCACCTGGCCAGCCCCAATTATGATTTGCATTGCACTACATTGTGAGGTCTGATCTGTACCCCTCTACGGCTAGTCTTCAGGGGCACGCGGTGCTTCTCCCCGGTTTGACACAGCCCTCCTAACACATAGCACTGTGTAAGCTGCCAATGCTTCAGCAATATTAATAAATAGGCAATGTTAGTTTAATAAAACCCACTAGATATTATGTGATCTCAACCAGGTTCTGCTGGCAACACTTGCTAATAACTTTAAATGATCATGCATCCATTTAATTGTGCTAATGGCAAAGGAGGTTTTAATGACCTGACAGGACTTTTGTTCCCTTTGGCACTGCTTTGTTTTGAATTGTTGGTATTAAGGTAATACAAGATGTCAAAGTGCTGTGATTGTCATACAGAGAGACCCAAGCAGGAGCTGGCACAGAGTAGAAAACATTTAGATTAATGCAAAACATTAAAAGAATAATTATTACAACATGGATATCACAGAGAAGATCAATGTAAGCGTCTTTCAGTACATTACTATTAATGGATTTCTAAAGAAACGAGACCATTTTTCTACATTCATACTGCCGCGCCACGTGCCAAGCGACTAGAAAAGCACAGATCTACCAGGAGCTTAGTCTGTCCTGAGCAAAAAAGATCTTTCAACGTGTGAATCAGAAATTGCAAGTTAATTGCCCATAAACACTTGCACTCAACTAACATGTGTACCTGGCCCACCACGGCATGTTGCAGGATCCAAGCAAAGATTCATCAGGGCGGAGTGACATATAGCAAACGCAGTATTCAGAGCCGCCACCAGCATTAGTGCGCTAACAAATTAGTGTTCGAAGTTGCATTAATAAACTGCCGCATTCATCCAGGAGTTTAATCAAGACTGGATGTCCCATATGAAATACTACTGCGCTCCCAATCTAATGAAAATCAAATGGTTTGGGCTCTGCCAAGTGATTTTTTTTTTTCTTTCTTCCATAATCTTTAAAAAAAAAAAAAAAAAGAAACTGCAAGCCTTTGGGCTCCGATTTGTAGACACTTTCTGAACCATGCCAACTCTGTGAACAACATGCCCTGACTTAGCAGGACAGAGATCCCAGGAATTATGTTTCAGTAAAGACCAACTGCTTGCAGTTCCTACCATAAGCTCTTTTCTCAGTCTGAAGTTGTGCTCATGAACTTCTGACTGAAGAACAGTTAATATTACATAAGCTGCAGACATAAGTCCTGAGGTAATGTAACTTCAATCAAAACAAAAAGATTTCACAACAGTTACATGGTACACTGAACTTCATTTTCCAATTTCATTTTAATCTGGCAAACCTCCTTTGCGTCAAAAGACTTTGTGTTTACTTTAAAAGATTGCTTCCAGCCAAAAAAAAAAAAAGAAAGAAAGAAAGGTCAGATGGCCAAAATATTCCACTTTAAACAAACTAATGCATAAGGGTCTCTTCACATTTCAGCCTCACAAGTGGAAGACAGAACCTAGATGATGTGGCCCCAAAGGGTTTAATGTTCAACTTGGATGGCACAAGGTTAAACTGTGGGGGAACAGGATGCAAAGAGGGGAGGGAAACAGGAATCAAGGGGAAGGAGACTTAACGTTACGCAGATCAAATGACAGTGGGTGAACTCTTACAATCTCTGATGAGTAATGCTCATCTAACCTGCCATTTATTCACTCATCAGTTCCTTGGCTCCACTCGACTTCAGAACAATTTATAACCTGCATGAGCTCAGGTTTTGTTTGCACTACATGGAAAAAACTCTGTAATGTGCCCGCTCCCAATCAACTACATCAAATCAGTGTTTATCGACGTGGGATTCTGGCAACTTTTTGGAAATCCCAATATTTGGGACTCGGACTTGGAATAAGACCAGCAACAACTTCCACCACATTGCTGGGAGACCAGAAAGCACACAGTCTTGCAAATTCAGATGCAAGTTTGGTGACCACCATCACGCAATGGATAATCTTTCTGCTGGGACTGAAGTATAGCACTGCCTTTTCATCAGGATCAACTGCTCATAAATAGTTCTCTTGTCTTCTGAATAACATCTAGCATTCAAAAAGTAAATGAGTGCAGTATCCCACTCTAGGCACGTGTGCTTGAATACCTACTGTATGTCAACAGCTCCACTTCTGATGCTAGATCCTTTATCGAGGAACCTATTTGGACTCCAGAGAGATGTAACTCATGTTGCTGTTTACTCTTTTGGGCACAAATTGATTTCTCACTTGCTGGCATGAGAAGATCTTTGCCTGGCCCTTGATTGATCAATTCTAGCATGCACTGCAGGATGAGAAGAGGAAAACTCTAGCAAATCAGTAGTGACATGGGGACTGTAAAGGAAAAGCCTAAGTTGAAGAATGCCTTCAGTTCCTGCAACACCCCTTACAAATGGAGGGCACTTCTAGGTTGATAAATATTGTGATGGAAAGTGGGTCAGTCAGTACTAAGAACAGCACAGCTCCCACACATGGTGGAGAGAAGAGAGTTTCATCTGGTAAGGAGGGGAATCCAACGCTAAGCGCACATCCAACCATATCCTTCCAAGGTGCCAGTATGATGGATTGGTTAACAAACAGCTTTCAGCCAAAAACACCCATCTGGTTATGTAGCAAGAAAATTACATAGGGATGAAGACAGATTGGCAGAAGTAGGGGTCATTACTGATAAATAGTACATTTCTTATGTCATGCCCTCCAGGCACAGTAGCATTTTGTTGTTTCTCTTTGTACTTGTACTTTATCCAGTTTTACCGTATCTTCACTAAACTCAGAGGACCAGGCACAGTATTCCAGCTGCAGCGCAATGAAGACTATGTTCCTATACAGAACTGAAAACATGCATGATATAATATAAAACATAACGCAACATAAATCTTGGATTTCCTTCGTTCCATAATGGTATTGCACGGCAAGTCCACAGTTGCTTTCTCTCTACTGCTATCCCTAAGCCTCTTTCAGACTTATTTCTTTGGTAAAGATAGTCTGTCCTTCAATTAGTGTCTGTAGATATTTCTTCTCCTGACATGGACTGCTTTACATTTATGAATGGTGAATTTAATACTACTGCACCGAGTTCACTGTACTAATCATCCCAGGTTGCTTTAGTCCTTCCATATATTTCCTTATGTCATTAACATTTTGATCCTGAAAGGATCATTCCTGTTAAAGGTGCCTGAAATAGATGCTAGGCTAAATTGAAGAGCTGGGACTTTCCTGGCCTTCCCTTATTCCCTTTAGTGCAAACAGGTACGAATAGGTACAGCAAAAGAGCAAGAACTGAATAATGATGGTTAAATGTTATTTCCTTTTTGCATATCTGATCTCCATGAGATCAGCACCAATGTGTAACAGGACTGTATATCTGGGGTCTGCGGCAACTGAATGGAGCCAA